TTCAATGCTTTGACCTCAGAAAAAGTTAGAGGTTCGTTTTTATCTATTTTATCCTTTTGGGTTTTCTTGGTGAGTATCCTAAATAGGTTTTCAACTTTACAATGTTTCGAAGCTTGGGAATGCTTCTTGACTGGTTGACCCATCTTATGTTAGGCCTGTGTTGAATAGTCCTGCTATTGGAACCATGTGCCAGAATTCACTACAGAAATGAGTTTTCCCCCCCTCTTTTCTCTGCTTTTTTTAATGCACCAAAGTGGTTTGAAGAATTAGTTTGTCTATCTAGAAGGAAATTTAGCTCAGTTCACCAAGATTAATATGTTGTATGAATCAAAATGTCATCATGACCTTACATCTGTAATAGTGATTGTCCGTACTTGTCACATCTGGAGGACTGCAAACAAATATAGTTTGAAATTTTGATTTTATGTGCTTCCTCTTTTCTGTTTAGCTGGGCTTCCTTTACATGGCAATGGATATTGTTTTTAAAGGACTGCATTATTGGCACAGTGCTTGTGATCAGGATTAATGCTCTACCTTGTAAAGAAATAAAGAAGAGAATTTTATTTCTTTTTCTTATTGTTGATATAGATTTGTGGAATTACATATATTTCATTTAAAGACTGTTTTTCTTTTCACTTGTCTCCTTTTCATGGAGTATGCTGCATGTGGTGGACTATAATAAACTATAACCATTATGTATACAGGTGCTACACTTGTTGTGTCAGGGGATGGTCGCTATTTTTCAAAGGAAGCAATTCAGGTACGTTTCAACAGCTGACTTTTTTCTGAATGTACTCAACCTCCATGAACTGGGTGGGATTAACTTCTTGGTGGCTACAGTATTTTGATTTATCAATAAGGAAGCTAATACCTAACACATCAATGCCATAGCTTGGTACTTGGAAATTTCTTTTGTTGGTTTTTTCTTAGTGGCATGGTGGTTTTTTAAATCTCAATTTGTTGCTGACTTTGGCTTAGGATTGGATATGGATAGCATTTTATAGTACGTGCAGGCTAAGCTGTCAATTACACTATTCCATCCCCTTATCACAGTTTTGCACTTAGTTTAAGTTCTTGGTCTTGAAATTTATTGTTTCTTTTAATTTATATTGGGGAAGAAATGAGGTCAAGAAAATGAGGGTGATAGAGATACAGAGCCTAATATACTTTATATCACTTCTAGGATTTCAACCTGTGAAAGGCAATACCTTACCTTGGCTTTTCTAGCACCACTAGATTGGAGATTGTTGTTTCCAGGTCTGAACTTCATGTAGGTTATGCAGTGATATTTAATGGTAGGTCAGAAATGGATTTTCTATTCAGGAGAATGTAGTTCTGTCCTGTTTGGATTTTATTCTGAGTATATGGTTCTGCCTCTGCATCATTACTCTTATTGTAATCTAATGGGAAACGGTACATGCCATGGTTCTCCTATGCATAGAATATATCTTCAGAATGTCAATATCATGAAATACATATTTAAAGGTTTTATTTAATTTGCAGATTATTACCAAAATGGCAGCAGCAAATGGAGTAAAGACGTGTTTGGATTGGTCAAAACGGATTGCTTTCAACTCCTGCTGTATCTGCTGTTATACGTGAAAGAGTGGGGGTTGATGTGAGTTATTGTTCTGCAATTTGCTGTGTATCCTTCAAACTGTCAAATCATTGCTTTTATTGTCAACGGTACAAATGATCTTTCTTTGGGTCAATGGAAACGATGGATCTGATTCTATTTTTACACCAGGGATCCAGAGCAACAGGTGCATTTATACTGACTGCAAGTCATAATCCTGGTGGACCTCATGAGGTGGGTACTCCCATATTTACTTTTAGTCAATTATGAAGCTGTGAAGTTTTTATTACTGATTATGATGATATCTGGTTTGGTGGTCCAGTGTGGGGAGCTTTCTTATCAGTGTAGTGGTTGTTCGATCTCTTAATTTTCATTTTTTAGGTTGCAACCTATTGATTTCAGGAATCATTTGTGTTGCTATGAATATGTATAGGACAATAGGATATTTTAAATGATCCTTCAGGGGCTAATTTATATTTGTCTTAATTTTTTGTCCACTAGATCCTGTTACTATTGGTTGGATAGTGTTTTTTTCAGATGAGTTAATCATTAACTTGATGAAATTACATGGTAAAAAGTTTCATAACATGATAAATGATAAAACTAACACCTATTACTCACACGTTAAAGTTCTACTTTGACTTTTCAAAGTGGAAAATGGATGTACTTGCTGAGATGATTCAGAACAAAGGGACTACTCTGAAAATTGATGAAGAAGAACATATTCACAAATTGAGTTTGATTCAGAACATCTAAATGTTTTATTCTGCTTGTCTCTGTTTTTTTTTTCCTGAATGAACTGCCATTCTTGTCCTTGACAGATATTGTTGCCATGATTAATTCTTGGAAATTTTTAAAAATACCTTTGTTCAGCATGACGTAGGGCTAAATTGATGACAATAATTTATTGGTCAAGGCTAAATTGATGGCAGTAAATTTTGTATTAATTAATGTCATTGAAATCTTTCAAGGACCTATTATCCATATTATAGTTTAGCTTTCAATTTTTGTTTGTATTTATTTATCTTTCTGCACTTTCCATTTAAAGCTTAGGGGAAATAAAAATAATGTTCTTCAAATTAAGTAAAAATAAAATAATGTTTTGAGATCATGCACAAGAAACATTGTTATATGACTATTCCTAATTCTCCTGGTCTGCATCTCTCTTCTTTGTGAATTCTTTTCATTGAAGAAAAGAGATAATCTGTAACTTTAAAGTTGACAACAAAACTCCTATGGCTCCCTCCCTCCTCCCTCTTTTTCTGCCAGAAATGTCCCACAGTGCCACTTAGGCCTGGGTCTTTCTAGGTATGCAATTATATGGCAGCCAATGAGTACATAAAAAGTATAGTTATAAGTTAGAACTGCTTGCAGGTACCAAACAATGCAGGAGTGTGAGTCCTATAATGGCTGTGTGTGTGAGACATGGAACTTCTTTTATAGTGGAGGCTCCTCTGTTTTGTCATATTAGCTTTTAATGATTTGTCTTCATAACATTGTAGTTGCAAGAAAGATTTCCTTGTTAAAGAAACATGAAGTCTGAATGATTGTTGCTGCAATTGCCTGGTTTCCACAATGCAGGATTTTGGGATTAAATATAACATGGAAAATGGCGGACCAGCTCCTGAGGGAATTACTAACCAGATCTATGAGAACACAACAACAATTAAGGAGTACTTCATTGCTGAAGATCTGCCTGATGTAATACTTTCCAGTTTGGCCTGGCTTTAATTATTCCCCTTTTTGTCCTCTTTATTTCCCTTTCTGTTTTTTATCAATACTGTTATGTGTTTCCTCTCCCAAAACCTTGTTTCTAATTCACCTTTTGTTTGTTCAGGTGGATATAACCACAATAGGTGTAACAAACTTTACAGGCCCTGAAGGACCATTTGATGTTGAGTTTTTTGATTCAGCAAGTGATTATGTAAGTTGTTGATGAAGTAAGATTTCTTTACTGGATTAACAATATCTGCATTTGGCATTAATAAGGTAGACTTTCATGGCCGTGGTTTTATTATGTACTACAGTATGTCATGTCAAAATGAGGCCTAACTGGAAAAACTGTTCAATTTAAAAGATAAAATTTCTGGAGAATTAGTTTCACATTAATGTTTGATTTTAATGTGGATATAAAACTTATACATTTAAGCTTATAGGCTTAAGGTCATTTTTTCCAATCAAATTAGAACAGGTGGATTTTTAATTTAAAAAGAAGTTAAAAAGTGTTAATAACAAGAGCTGATCACATGGTGAGTGATGCATAAAAATGATCTATGGCCTTGAATTGATTGGTGAATAGTATCTTAAATATATAAGCTAAGTATCTTAGTTTTTTTTTTCCTTTCAATAAGTCTCTTGCACTTTTCGTTTATGGAATGTCACATTGTTGGAGTCATTAATGGGTCAGTTGTTCTTACAAGTTATTATCTTGATGAGACACTAAGACTTTAAACCTTACTTGTCTGGTATTTGTTTAGTGGTTCAATCCTTTATCTTTATCTTTCAATTTCCAGGTCAATCTTTGATTTGAGTCTATTGGGAAACTGTTGTCTTCGCCGAAATTCACATTCTGGTATTTTTTTTTTTTTACTATTTGTTAGTTTAACCTGTTATTTCAAATGTTGTTTTCTATTCCTCCACCTGAATATCTTGAGCCTTTTCCTACTTTCGTGAAGTTATGATGCACTGCATGGAGTTGCTGGAGCTTATGCAAAGCGCATATTTGTGGAAGAACTTGGGGCACAAGAATGCTCTTTACTTAACTGTACACCAAAGTTCTTTTTTCTTCTTGCTCTTTTTCCAAGAATCACCTGTAAACTCTGGCAATGGTGGTGATGATTTACTTTTTATTAGTGGATGGCTTCCTTGAGTGCAGGAAGACTTTGGCGGAGGCAACCCAGACCCCAATTTGACCTATGCAAAGGAGTTGGTTGCTCGCATGGGATTGAGCAAATCAGTACCTCAAGATGAGCCACCTGAAATTTTGGTGCAGCTGCTGATGGTGATGCAGATCGTACATGATACTTGGGAAAAGGTATTAAAGTGCATGGTTAATAACAAATTTGAAATCTTATCGATCTGTAAGCTTTCAATTTAAACATATCTTCTTTTTTATAGGTTTTTTTGTCACTCCATCTGATTCTGTAGCCATAATTGCTGCAAATGCTGTTGAAGCTATACACCTATTTTTCTAGTGGCTTGAGGAGTTGCCAGGTATTTGTCATATTTTGAAGCCAATATTGTTGGTTCACGTGTGGCATGTGCAAGCAAACATGCTTATGCACATTTGTTCATGTCATGTGACCAGTGGCAAGCCTAAACTTTTATTTGACGTTTTTCTTGGCGGACTGATGTACAAACAATTTTTAATGCAGATGGTAGTTCAGCATGGTTGCATGGAAGTCATTGCTTCAAATAGAAACATGCAATGATCCCTGTTGTAATATAACTTTTGTTTGTTTATGTGTTTTGCGTTCATTTTCATGGACCTTGTGGTCCATCACTCTATTGCAATTGATTTACAATACTAAGGTGGTATGGATTTCTCAATCCCATGTTGAATGGTATGGGATGCTTTCACTTGACTGCTCATCGAAGTGTTTGTGGTTAGCATAATGTGCACAATATAACTTTGATTGGTTAATCTTTTGGTACATTTGTAAATCTTTTCTGATTAGAGAACTTTGCTGCGGAGGTAAAATTAATGTGACGGACAAATGTTACGATCTTTTGTGTAGTGGTGATAGATATGTCAATCTATTTTAAGGGAAAGATATCAAACTTGAGGACTTGCTTACCCAAATATTATGCAAAATGAGTCATTAAACCACAGGTGCACTTAATTATCTAATGGACAAGACTTCGGTTAGTTCATTAGGTTTCCCTGTCAGCCTCTCCATTGAAAGTTATAACATGTGTACACACCATCGCTGTATTAGAGACCCTCAAAAAAGTTTCTGCACATGCCACAATTCTAATGAAATATCTGATAACACTATTGAGACCCAAGTCTTTCTGTTTTTTGTGTATAAACAAGTCTAATTCTTTAATTAGTTACATTTGAGATTTTTGAATTTTTGAAGATAAAATAATCCTCGTCTACCAGGCTCTTGAAACTGTCCTTTGTTTGATATTATTTTCACCTTTGATATTAGCAATTGGGCATTTATACTAATATGTGAAAACATCACCTATGTAAAGTTTAAACTCGTATGTATTTGTAGGAGTATGCCAACCTCTGCTGCCCTGGATGTTGTAGCCAAACATTTGAACCTGAACCTGAAATTTTTTGAGGTAAGTATACTGCTGATGTTTGGAAATTAGTATATGCTTACTGGTTGCTTTTAGGCGGCTGTAATTCTTTCATCAAATCCAGGTCCCAACTGGTTGGAAGTTTTTTGGTAACTTAATGGATGCTGGATTATGTTCAATTTTGTGGTGAAGAAAGCTTTGGAACTGGTGAGCGCATTTGTTGTTGCATTAGGGACAATGTATCAATACTTTTAGTAATCTCAAACCTAGTTAAGTTATATCTCATGATTATTGTCTACTATGTGTTTGTTGAATAGGTTCGGACCATATTCGTGAGAAAGATGGAATATGGGCAGTTCTGGCCTGGTTATCTATTCTTGCATATAAAAATAGGGATAAGCTTGGTGGAGACAAACTTGTGACAGTTGAAGACATAGTTGTTCAGCATTGGGCTACTTATGGGCGTCATTTCTATACTCGATATGACTATGAAGTATGCTATAATTGCACTTTTTACGTCGTATAATCCACCTCAAAAATAGCTTAACCTGATCAAAATTTTGTTTGTTGAAGAACGTGGATGCAGGTGCAGCAAAGGAACTGATGGGCATATTTAGTCAAACTGCAGTCATCACTTTCTGAAGTCAATCAGTTAGTGAACTTTTTTACTTCAATATAATTTTTGTGAGATTGTGTTCAGGTTCTTAATTGTATTTTCCCTTTTATTTAAAAGCTTTTCCCACCCTGTCTTGACATGATATGACATTTCTAAATTATAGGTGTCTGAAATTTGTGTCTACTTTGTTTGAATGATATATATACTTTCTATGTTGCCTTTGTCCTTCTGAATTCTGATCTTTATCATAGTTCAAAATATGTTTTCAGTGAGCTTGCAGTTTCTTATATGAAATAACTTCGATCTGTCAGAGGTACAATTTTTTTTTGTGCTGTGTTATTCAAATGGAATGTCTAAGTGAGACGCA